CATCATCGTGTTAAAAGGACGGACAGACATTAAATTTGTGTAAATATGGTAAAGACTCTTATTTACATTATTTACATTAATTTGTATTTACAATATTCATTTCAGTGCATGTATATACATAGACAACGATAACAATATATGTTTATATCCTATTAAACAGTCCTATTTCTTTAGAATAAGTTAGAATTTTCCTCGGGTTAACGATGTCACAAAAGTCAGAAATAGGAGATCATAGTAGAACAAGATAGAAGCACTCGACTGTCGAGAGGTCGGTACGGCATGGGGAGAGGGAACTGTAGTAATTTTGGGGCCCAAAAAGGAGGTGAGATTTTTCAGCACGCTAAACAGCTGATAAAAAAGAACTCCCAAAAGTCAAAGAATGGAGAGAACATAGTAGTACAAGATAGTAGCACTCGACTGTCGGAGTGGTTGGTGTGAGGAGGGGAAATGGAATAGTTTATTGCTCAGAGGGTTTAAGATGCAACCTCGACAGCTGATACAAAAACTTCCCAAAAGTAGGAAACTGGAGATAGCAGTACTAGATAGAAGCACTTAGCAGTCGAGCGGTAGGTGTGGAGTAAGGGAAATGGAATAATTTTCAGCACAAATGAGGGTAAGATTTTTCAACACACTGGTCAGGAAGAAAAAAAACAACACAAATTCCCAAAAGTCAGAATTTGCAGATACTAGTACTACAAGATACACACACTTAGCTGTCAAGAGGTTGGTGTGGAGAGAGGAAACTGTAATAATTTTGGGCTCAAAAGGGGGGGGGGGGGGAAATTCGTCTTTGTTCAATACACCAAAGTCTTTGTCCAATGATCTAGAAAAGTCCTTGTGCAACATACGGGGGTTAAGATTTTCCTACACACTACAGAGCTGATTTTTTTTTAAATCCCAAAATTCAGAAATTGGAGATATTAGTCAGTAGCACAAGACAGCGACACTTAGCTGTCATGGGGTTGGTGTGGGAAGAGCGAAATGGGTGAATTAGTTTGGGGCTCAGAGAGTGCAAGATTTCTCAACAACCTCGACAGCTGATACAAAAAACTCACAATAGTCAGAAATTGGAGATAGCAGTACAAGATAGTAGCACTCTGGAGTCCAGTGGTTGGTGTGGAGAGAGGGAAATGGAATAATTTTGAGCTCAAAAAGGGGGAGGGGGGGGGGGGAGATTTTTCAACACGCTAGGCAGCCGATTTTTAAAAAATTCCCAAAAGTCAGAAATTGGAGATCACAGAAGAACAAAATAGCTGCACCCTGCTGTCGAGTGGTGTGATGTGGAGAGAGGGGAAAAGTGGAATGTTGTTGTTTTACCTGTTTGTAATTATAGAAATGTATGGATTTAACGGCCCACTCAACATTATTGGACTATTGTACAGGCGGAGGCGTCCAAATTTTAGGCCCGTCTCCGATAGGACTGAGCCAAATGGTTTGAGAGCTTTTACTTTCACCAAGCAAGACCTATCAACCCGACCCAATACCGTCCGACCCTCATACAATCCGATCACAGTAGGCATATAATATATCAAGCTCGACCATTCTTCCGATTCGAAGAAGAGCCCATGAATCGTAGGCAGTTGCGAACTTGCTTGTTTGTTTGTTTGTTGTTGTTGTTGTTGTCGTTGTTGTTTTGGTCAGTGTTTTTCGGCGTTCACAACTGCATAAGGTCATGTGAGCGCGCGGGACACATTAAACATTTTCAGTTTGGTAAGAACTCATTTTAAATTTTTGCCCGGGTGGCGGCCGAAGCCTACTCTTATCGATTTTAGGACCACAAAATGATCTTTAATGAGCGCAACTTGCACACGGGATCTCCGAGATGTTTTCGCCCTTA